TATAGTCCCCGTAAAATTCCCAACACCCTTGTTTTGATCCTACTCCCTTCTCCCGCTCTGTAGTGTGTCTCTGGTTTATAGGTGCCTGTTGATTTTGATTTTTACTTTATTATAATTGCTTTTTTCCTGGTCCCTTATTTAGGTTTTCTAAATTCCTGCTATGAGTGAGACCATCTGGTATTTTTCTTTTTCTTTCTGGCTTATTTCACTGAGCATGATCCCTTCCAGCTCCATCCATGTTGCTGCAAATGGCATGAGCTTATCTTTTTGATTGCTGAGTAATATTCCACTGCATACACCCATATATTAAAGGGCTCTTATTTGTACAAAGTGGCGCAGTGGGATCACCCAAGGTTGAATTTATGCACTAAAAATAATCCCAAGACTGACTCACTAAAGCTATTGGGGTTAAATATCAGGGTTTATTTTTATGGGGACTAGAACCAAGATGAAAATGCATACAGTGTACTATTTTGAGGACTAGGAAGTGGACTTTACCCAAATGCCCAGAATCACTGGCAATTATAAATATCTTTTGGTATTTGTGGATACCTTCTCAGGCTGGGTGGAAGCATTGTCAAGCAGGACAGAAAAACAATTCAGAGGTTGTCAAACAACTGTTGAAGGAGATAAACTCTGCCTTGTATTGCCCAACTCTATTCAGAGTGACAGTGTGCCTGTGTTTGTTTCAGAAAGAAATGCCTTACAGTTTCCTTGGAAGCTACATGCTGCCTAGAGACCATATTCTCGAGTACAAACACATAAAATGAATCACATTCTAAAGAAGACCTTGGCAAAACTATGCCAAGAAACCCATCTGCATTGGGATTAGGTATTGTCCATCACTTTTCTTTAGGCAACAGAGGCTCCTAGAAGTGGACTATGTTTAAGCCCCTTTGAAATACCTTTGGAAGACTACTCCAAGGTTCAATCTTGAACACTGCACTAGACATTGAGCAAGAATGTAGGATCAAACAGTAAATAAAACATATTAAGAAAGTTTTAGCTATAACTTTGCACTCTTTAAGATCTTGATGTCTCCAGATGAACTATTATATCCTTTCAAATCTGGCGATCAAGTCTTACTCAAGTTCTAGCATAGTGGAGATGCCCAAGTGCAATTGTCAGAAAAATGGTCTGTTCCTTATGTTGTTTTTCCGACCACTCATGCTTCACTATAATCTGCAGGCATAAAATGCTGGGAGCATTACTTCAAAATGAAAGTTCTGGAAGGTGAAGACTTGGAGACAAAAACCAACTGGTCTTATGAGCCTGCTGAAGGCCTGAGATATTTATTTTTAAAAAAGACAAAAATTAAATATTTTTTCTTCCAGTTACTATTACAGGATACCCCTGTAACCTACTACAGGTTTAACTTCCTGAAGAACACTAGAAACCCTGAGATGATAAATAAGACTATAACACTTCCTTGACAACATCTTTAAACTTTTTTTCCTCCTTTCAGAGATGAAGGTATGTAGAATGGCATTTGAAATCATGTGAAACCTGCTGTCATCAATCCCCAGCTATGACTTCATGGAAAAAAAATTATTTTGACTTTTAATTTTTGATTTTCACAATTTGGATTTTTGTGAAGATCTTTTATATATGGACCTGTTTGATTTTCTTGTTTTGTCTCTTTGTAGACTATTTTTTGCAGGTACATGTACAATTTAGGTGAACAGTTACTTCAATGTATATTGGACTGCCTTCCTATCAAGAAGTGATAAAAAGAATCTAGTCTCATAAGGAAATAGAGAAAGTTCTATGGCTTTGCAGAGATGAGTAAAACTGCAGTTACACAAGATATTCCAAGTGGGTAAAATGAATAAAATGAATAAAATATATGCATGTCTTCCTTTTTGTGTCTAATATCTTATGTAACATCTATATGTATATGCATATGCATCCATATAATGAGAACTGGTACAAGTGCTTTCCAGGAAGCATGGTCTGAGACAGTCTGTGGTTAATGAAAACTAATGTGGAATTTAATAGTTTGGTTTGAAGCATGTATATTTTGTGCTATGAGGTATAAATTTTATTTTTTGCCTTTTAACCTGTGTCATTTATGTTGAGCACATCTGCACAGAAGAAGGAACCTGGGGTGAAAAGCTTAAGTCATTAAATGTTGGATAAAATTGCAGTTGGGAAATTAAAAGTTTTTGAACATTAAAAAATCCAATTGTGGGGTTTTTGGTGGGAAAATGGTTACTTTTGGAATGAGATAAGAAGATGGGAAGGATTTAATTCTGTTAGCATTGTGCTAGTTGTGTGTAGTTAGAGCTTTGATATCTTAAATTGTCACTGTTAGGTAATTGAATGCTCTTTTCCCTAATACTGATGATAAAATTTCCCAGGAATCTATAATTTTTAAAAATGGTAGTCTTTGTTTGATTGATCAGAGGAAATTTTATGACCTCTCAGTAGAGGTACTGAGACACTGCACCAAATTTCTCCCTTTCATTATGGCAAAGACATAAGATGAATTTGACCTATTTGATATTTATTGGGTAAATAAGAACTTAATGGGAAGCATTGGTCCTTGAGAGAAATGTTTCACCTTAGCACATACATGAATCTTAATATTGGTATTCTAAAAATTATTATGTGAAACTTCTTAAGTGTCTCGTAAGTTCTGCAACACTTGTCAATTCTGATTATTTCTGGAACATTATAAGTTATAATGTTGAACAAATTTCCTTGTCAACTACGTTATCATCAGATCTTTAATTTTGGTTATTTCAGAGTTCTAACGTTAGCAGAAATTGTTTCTGGAAAAATTAACAGGAGGAAGACCACAACAACATTTCAAGCCCCAAGCTAATTAATGGAACTCAAGATAGAACATTTTCTACATAGAACTGAATTAACTTAATATGTTTTTGTTTGGAATATTACCGGGTTTTGTTTGTTTGTTTGGTTGGTTAGTTTTCTGGGTTTTTTTCTTTTAATTGTGATTGCAGCAATGTTAAATTGCATTTGCAAGCAAAACTAAATTATGTTTGTATTTTCTCTCTCTTCAACACCATTATAATATGGAAAAATGATAGTAATCATTCTTCTTATTTATGACAATGTGCCCATCCTTGCATAATTTTAATAAAGAATCTTACTTGTTTCCCTTTAAATGGAGAATTTTAAACATGGTCATATTAATCAGGCTTAGAATGGAATGTGCCAGTTGAGACCTTCTGGAAGTTGATGTTCAGCACAGCTAAGAGAAAAGAGCCTGCTACCTTGGCTATAGGATTCCAGTGACCACCTGGGAAAGTAGGGAAGCTTACCTCCCTCCAGTGGGGCCTAGAGATCCCAGAGGAAAAACCTTGGGAAACTCAAGCAGAGGAAATGTAGCCAAAGGTACAAATGTTGCAGGTGGAATCTGGTGAGACCATCCTGTGGCATGCCTCTCGAGGTCTGGACACGCCATTTGTTGAGAGCGCAATCTAAGTTTACTTACAGAAAGTTCCAACAAAGCCAACAGAAATTCTACTTGATCATTCTGTCCTATGAGTTTCTGCAAAAATAAATCAGATTGGAATTAGATTTAGTTTACAAAAACATTCTGCTATACTAGTTTATAGAATTGGGATGAAAATGAGAGAAAATCAATTAAATAGTAGCTTCTCAACCATTTTGAGGCTGTTTTCTTTTCTTGGCTTGAAATTATTGACTGTTTTCTAAAAATGGAGGACTTATTCACACTGGCTACGTGTGGACAATCTCATGACTGGTAGCTATTTCCTTGGAATACACTGCAGAAAAAACTGTCTTCTGAAGCCATACCTCAGCATTCACACATCTGACTCTCACCACCATAGAAATAAATGATGACAAGAATTAAAGATGGGTAAATTTTAAGAAAAAGAGTGAGGGGCAACCTCTGAACTAGTTGGTGGTGCTCATAGCCAATTTGATGGTAGAATAGAAGGTGGAGCTTTTTAGATTCCACCTCCTCAGCAGGGAGTTGATGGGAAATAGGAGAGGGGCTGAGATTTTTGGCAGTTAAACTGCTGGGATTCCAACAGGTAACCTGCCAGTGAGGAGTGGTGTCTGTGAAGAAGCTTCATAACTTGCCACATAGCTTTGGTTTAGACCTCAGTCTCTGCTCAGCAAACACTATCTGGGGTAGGATAAATGGCATCTGGCCATATGCCAGGCCCACTACCCCCAGTCCCTTTTTCTCATTCCCTGTGTAAACAAATCTGATTATGGTTGTTTCACACTGTGTCTGCTTTTGGGTGGTATCTGCAGGACACCAGGATTTTCTCGGTTTCATTCCCTTACCCCTTTTGTCAACCGACTCGACTCATCTGCCCTCCCTGTCCCAAGGTCAGGTCTTTGTCCTCAACTTCTTTGGATTGGAGTTCCTTGAAGGTCCTTTTCAGACTATGGTCTCCCCAGGACAGGAATTCTGTTTCTGCCTGCTCTTTCTCCTCTAATAACAGAAGTTGCTATTTATTAAGCCCATGTTTCATATTAGGCTCAACTGTAAGCACATTATACCCAATAAGTCATCTAAGTTTCACAGTAAGCTTGCAAGATACAAATGGGAAAATGAGGCAATTCAGTCTACTTTCCAGTGGCCTCTTGGCCAGCTACCTTCCCTAACAGGGTTCCTGCTGCATTTTTCCTCCAGAAAAGGGAAAGTGAGATACAGGCCTTAAGTTTCTGAACTGAAAAGGGAAATAAAAATTAAGCACATGCTTTGCTTCCCCAGTGGGCACAGGATCAAAGGATAGGTAGCAGGCAATTTTTGTCAAAATGTGAGAACATCTAACTACCAGAGACTCTATTACATTGGAGGTACTAGAAATATGCAAGTGAAGCAAGAAAATCTCACATCAAAAAATGAAACATAGGGGGTTCCGTAATAAGGGACTTGACTAGATAACTCTAAGAGTCCTTCCAGCTTAGATTCTATCACTGAATGGTTCTAGAACTCCATGATAGTGTGACTCTATGACTATTCTAAATTTTATAAGAACAAGAGACAACCCTTATCATCAAAGGTCTCACAATGCAGTAGATGAGGCTGAAAATAGTTACTTTTACCAATTGTAGTAATAAATAGTTCTATAGTGTAAGGCCTGGGCAGGATGTGGGAAGGAGCTCTAACTGAGTCAGGGCTGTTTCCTCAAAGCTGGCCTTAAGAACCACTTACATCAGAATTGTTTGGGAAGCTTTTTTTTTTTAATGCTGATTTCTGGGCTTCACTCCAGATCTCCTGAATCAGAACCTCTGGAGTGGAACCCAAAATTCTGCTTTACCAAAACAAGTTCTGAGGCGATTCCTAGGAAGGCTGAAATTTGAAACTGCATGTCCAGGGTCAGGAGGACTTCTCTGAGAGGTGATCTCCAAACTGAAAAAATGGAGTGGGTTGGATCTAAACAAGTAATTACAGAAACAACGTGGAAACAGCATGTTCTGATGAAGATTAACAATTATGTACAACATTCCTTCCACGCGGTAGGTCTTTTTCTTTATTTAACAAGACAGCACTTCTTAGGTACAATCAGATTCCATGATTGCCTCAGATGTTCAGGAACAGACCATTGTTTGCAAGGGAGGGAGAACTGGCCTCAGTTTGACATTAATTATTTCAAGGTCACAGGCTGGTAAACATGGCTCTGATAAGGACTCCCCACAGAACCTCAGAGAGGCTGTTCCCTGACATTACCTACTCCCCTTCCCATAGCCTCCTGGCCCTCATTTCCCAGCAGGCCCTGGGTGCTTCTTTCCTCTGCAGCCTGAAGTGTCAACAGTAAGGAAGTAACAGTTTGAGTGGGGACCTGGTGGCCAGAAAGTGAAAGGTGTTTTGGGACAAGGACCAGTGAGGTGTGGCTGGACAACACGTGTCTGGAAATCCCAGGGCCTGTTGAGACTTGGAGAGAGGAGACATGGACTCAGGTCAAGGTGAGAGAGTGGTGTGCATCCTAAGTCTGAGCTCTGCCACTGAATTCCCTGGCAAACATAGGCAAGTCCCTTCCCTTAACTGGGCCTCTGCATCCTGCCTGGAAAAGACTGGGTTTGTGTTCTGATCTGATGATTTCTCTGGTGATCATCCAGCTTTAATATTTTGGATTCTAAGGTCTCATCTGGCCCTAACCATGATCTTGCGAGAACGCATGAAAGAAATGTTCCCATTTTACCAAGAAAAAGTCATGCCCCTGTGCCTTGCACACCAGCACTTGCACACTGCCATTAAGAGCAGAGCCTTATACCGCCAGCACCCAAGGCTCAGCCTAGCCTTCTGGGGATCAGCCTCAAGTCGAGCAAGCTGAAGCAAAGCAAGAGGAATTAGGCTTCAGGTCCAGGAAGCAGGCGTTGCAGGGGACGGAAGGGTCGGAGCCCACAGCCCTGGAGGCCAAGGCAGCTGGGCGGAGGCGCCCGAAGCCAGCCCCGGGAGAAGTGGGTGTGCTGGGGGCCGGGCGGGGCCGGGGGAGGGGACACTCCGGGGAGGAAAAGGGCAGAACGCAGTTGGAGAGCTGTGCGTGCTGGAAGGTGCTCAGCACGGGCTGCGGTTGCAGGGTCAGCACAGTGACTTGGGGTGAAGTGCGGGACAGACGTGCAGACGGGCGCCCTTTGGAACCTCGCCCAGAAGCAGGTAAGGCGCACTTGTAGGGTCGGGAAGGCTGACCTGCGCCGGGGGGGTGGGGGCCGCCCAAATCCTGAGCCGATCCTCCCCCAGGGCCGAGCCGCAGGAACCCCCGACTGCATGTGGAGTGTGGAGCGGGGCTCCCGACACACCCCGCCTAGACCTAGACATGGTAGGGACAGGTGCTGGCGCTCGCTGCGGCTGGTGCCCGAAAGTGCCTGCCTTCTTCCCTGAAATGCAGGTGAACACCTGCGGGGCCGCCAGAGCGCGCCCTGGGGAGCGGCACTCTGCAGCCCACCGTCTTCTGGCTGGGCCCCGCCGCCTGCAGTGCGGTGCTGACCCTCCTGTTGCTCCTCCACTGTACCCCTCGCCCTATTCACCCCATTCTGGGGAAAGGCTGGTGACTCCCAAAGGCATCTTCTGCTACTAGTAACATAGGTCTAGGCTGGGAGGTAGGAGACCTGAGTTCTAGTTCACAGGTTGTGTAAACCTGTGCCTGTCACCCACCTGCTCTATGCCTGATGCTTTCTTTTCCTGGGTCACCATCTACAAAACGGGCCTCATTGTCTTACAGCCCGCATACTCCATGTGACCTGAAGTGAAAAGACAACTGGACCTGGGGATGTCCCATCCAGAAAGCAGATGAGCTCAGATCCAAGAGTGAGCGCTCATGGAGAGGAAGTCCTCTCCCGCCCCCTCCCTCCGCCTCACCAATGCGCATATGGGGAAACAGGTGCACTGGAGATGGCTTGCCCAGGGTCACACCCCAGAACCAAAAGCCCAGGGCTCTCTCTCCACTTCACCTACACAAGTGCATTTTAAAGGCTTAAATGTCACAAAGTGCCAGGAGCCTTCCAGCCACTTTGTCAGCTCTAAATGCTGAAGCATGGAAACGCTTTCAGATTTTCTTGACTCCTTGAGATGATCAACCACCTTCTTCATCCCTCACTCTCTACTTCTCCAAACACATTTCTATCCAGAAACTGAATGTATGGATGCTCAAAATACCCCCCTAGAGGCGAGGCAAGACAAGAAATCCTATCTTACTGATGAGGACTTAGCCAAGAGACATGGCTAGACCCGTGGGCAAAATGAGAGCAGGTCTCTTGATCCCTGGTCTTGTGACTTCTCCATCAACTACAGACCATAGAATGGTGCCCAAGCTGGAAAGAGATTGTGATCAGAAAGCATGGGAACGAGGAAGGTTCTGAAGGAGGTATTGCTGAGAATCGAGAATAGTGAGAGCCAAGGATGAGGGAGGGCACATAGGGATGGGCTCTTGGTAATACTGGGGGTGGGGGGTGATGTAGACAGAAAAGGAAAGTGGCAGGAGGCTGCCTAAGGATTATCTTTTAGGTCTGTAGAACACTTTGCAATTTCCAAAGCACCATCCCCTCTCTTGTCTCCCGCTGTTCCCATGTGAAGTGCGCGGGGCAGAGGCAGTTATCTTCATCTCATAGACGAGTTTCAGACGAAATACAGGCAGGGCTAATGATCGCGTAATCAAGCATGCAGCCAAGATTGGAGCCATGAAAGGCACACTTGAAAGGCAAGATAACAGGCTGAGTGAGTGGAAGTTGGACTGTGTGTGCAGTGGGTGGGTGTGTATGGTCACACCCTGGGTAGGTACACAGGAAAGTGGAGTGCAGTGCCACTGCTGGTATTTTGGAGCCAACAATGTTTGCCCTTTGGATTGAACGGGGGTTCAGGTGCAGGAAACATCTGGTCTTCCAAGGGAGGCTTAAAATTCCTCCTTCCCTGACTCACCTCCCACCTGACTGAGATGGCTTTTCTTTCAGCGTCCCCTTCTCTTTTGGCCTGCCCTGGAAGTTACTTTTTAAATGCTGTAAGTGGTTTTCATGAGTGTATATGTGTGTGCTGAAGGAAGGAGAGTCTAATAAAATGAGGCATTGATTTATGTATTCTTGAGTGCTTGCTAGGTGCTCAGGCCCAAGAAATAATGTGTGTGTGTGTGTGTGTGTGTGTGATATATATGACATATATATATGTGTGTCATATATATATATATATATATATGACACGGATTCCTGGCCTCATACAGTTTAGCATGTTTATAAATGTCAGTAGGTAGAGATATATATACAAACTCACACAATACATAAATATTGATATACATAGGTATTGCTAAATAGAAACACAAACCCTGCTTTGACAGGGTTTTATGCAAAGCGTTTTGGAAAGAGAAAGAGGGGAAAACCAAATGGTCAGGGAGTGGAAAAGGGAGATGTCTCGGGAGAGGGTCTAAGGAGCTGGGTCTTGAAGAATGAGTAGGAATTCACCAAGCAGATGAAAAGAGGAAGACACAACATGAGCAAAAGCAAGAAGTATGCAAGTGCAGGGGATGTCTGGAGAAAGGCCTATAGCTCAGTGTCCTGGGGCACAAGGGAGAGCCGGGGTGAGATGGGGCCAGAGGTAAGGTCACAGCCAAAAGAATTTATAGTGCAAAGATCTGATTTCTGGTCCCAGCTCTGTCCCTTCTAAGTAGTGAGATTGCCTTAAGCAAGTGATTTCTCCCTGGGTGGGGTCACCTATATTTTCTAATTGGTTCAATGAGGGGCTTGTGCCAATGCTATGATTATTATGATCCCTTGTGGCTTAGGTTCTGTTTCTGTGTCTCCCTCCAACTAGACGTTAAGAACCATTCTTTCAGTTGCTCTCCCAGCCCACGGTGGTGACAAGACCACGAGAGGGATCAATGACAACTGCAGTTCCAGGAATTGTCTTTGGATTCCCTACCTACTTACGTGACTTCTTCCTCCCTTCTCCTCTCTGTGTATCACATTTCCAGAACTTAAGACACTCGTTTGACATACTGTCTAAAACAGAACAATTGGGAAACCAAAAGAGCCCATCGAGAAGTTTCCCCCTTCCCTGGAGAAACCTACAAGAAAATCTCACTGATTTCCCAGTTCATCCTTCAGATCACAGCTTTATACCTTCATGCCCAAATTAGAGGCCAGAAGAGTTCAAGAGCATTTGGGGAAAACCTGTTATTGTGAGGGAAATAGCAGCAGAGTGTGAAGGAAGAGTTTGCTTGGCCTGTTTGGAGGATCAGGAGCAGGACTGGAGCAGAAAGGACCAGGATGGGACAAGAATATGAAGGAAGGTTAACTCCTCCTCTGATGCTTACCAACTTCCCCCTCGCTGGACCTTAGATTAGGATTGGTGAGGGTCTGTAGTGCAGGAAAAAGCAGTCGAAAATGAGTTGGAGATGATGCCCCATGACATGAGGAGGCTGTGTTTGGTGTGTTATGCAGATCAAGTGCCAAGGACTGTTGCCATTTCTATGGAAAGAGCAGACAAATTGTTCCTGTCCAATTGTACTTGCGTTCTTGTCCAAGCTTGCCATTTGTTAGCCTTGTCATTTTGAACTAGTTACCCTCTCTGAGCTTCAGTTTTGCCATCTACAAAATGGAGAGTTTGGCTTAGAATATTGATTCTAAATGATATGATAAAGTCCCTTTAAGCTTGGTCACTGTTCACCTCCTTCCTAACTAATCTATCTCCAGTTTCAAATCAAGGATTCTCCAGGAGCCCTATTCCCCCCACCCCAAACCCCTCCCTCCCCATCCAAAATGCTTCATAATCAGTGACTCTCCTGGAGAGGGAAGCTAAGGAACTCAGGAGAACAATGTTGCCAACTGTCAATCCCTGACTTGGAAACAAGAGGCAAATCATAAAGAACCAAACTGTCCTGTCAGCTCTCTGTCTCTCCTGACCCAGACAGGATGCTCTGGCACTCAGGCCCTCACTCCCACCCCAACCCAGCACCTGAAAATATGTAGCTATGGCTTCTTTGTTCCTCCTATCAGAGCCACAATTATTTGAGTGTATCCAGTGAGGCCCTGGAAGAAGGGTCTGAGGGATGAACAGTTTCATGAACCTTTACTCCTCTTGGTAAAACTGGCCCTCAGAGCCCACTCTGTTCCACCCCTCCCCACCACTAGCCCCCATCTGCTGCACAGCCTATCTCTGCCCCAGGCTCCATCACCCTGGAAGGTGAACTGTTAAGAAGAAAAATGAACTAAGTCAACCAATTTGGCTCTCAGTTTTTCTAAGATGGAATATTAGCTGTAACTTAGTCCCAGGGTTCAGAAGTATCTTAACTTGTGAGGAAAAAGTCGGCAGTCTTCTCTGTTCTGTGATCTGGGGGGCTTCAGAAAGTCCCCCAAATGCCTATCAGCCTAGTCAATCTCCTGTAATTTCACAGTGTGGTTTGATCTTGTGATTCATACCCTCGTGGAATTTTAGAGCAGATCAGAATCGTACATAATTACATAATAAAACCCCTTCATTTTATAGATGCAGCCAGAAGCTGGAGCCCAGAAAAGGGAAGTCACATGCCCAAAGTCACACAAGTAGCAGCTGAACCAAGATATCTTCTTAGGTTTCTACTTCCTTCTCTATAAAATGAAGGAGATGAGGCTTAAGGGACTTCCCGCCAGCCTCTGCTCTACAAAAACAAAGCACCACCAGGACTGTGGAATGTCTAGTGCTACTAGTGAACTGCAGAATTTTCTCTAATTTCACAACCTTACAGATAGTGTTGCTGTTGTGACCATGTTTATACCCAGTCTATAAATGGATTGGGAACATCATTTGTTCCTGTGTAAAAAAATCTACCCAACTACTAACTGTCTCTCTGCCATCCACATCATTCCCCTGGGTTTTAGGGCCTTTCAGCCTTTAGAGGCCATGGTGAAACACGAGCATCCTTGGGGAAAAGAATGTTTTAGGCTACACTGTTTGCTGACTCCTGAGCAGAAGCTTATGCGTTAAACTCAGTTTTCTTATGAAGTTATCCCATTGAGTCATCACGGGCCTGGGGTGAGGGGACAGCAATACATGTCCCTTGGCCACTGTATAGTTCCTGCGACTACAAGCCCAGGCTGGTCTGACCCAGCTGCTTCAGGAAGAGGAAGGCAAGTTGGAAGACACTGTTGTCAGTGCCCACAGCAGGGCATTGACCCCTGGGACCTAGTCTCTACACCCACCCTGGTTCTGAAGTTTTTACTATGTCTGCTTCCTTCCTTTTCTGCCCCCTCCCCTGTTTTACATCTCTGGATTTTATCAGTTCCCGAAGTCAGTACCAAGACCCCAGATGTGTCCAGAGACATCCTGAACAGAAAAAGGGACTGAGGAGCCTTAGAGCACCCACAAGGATATTCTTGAAGCCAACACAGAACCAGGGATTTTCCAGTTTGGTGAGTTTTCTAGAGACAGGTTGCCCTGCCTCTGCCTGGTTAGTAACAACCCCCTTGCAAGGATAACTAGGAAACCTGGTCACAGTGGCTGTCCTGGGAAAGAGCCCATTATAAACATGTATGTATACATGTACCGCTTCCCCCCCCTTTTTTTTTTACTGTGTGTACATGTTTATTTCTCAAAAATGAAAAATACATTTTCATTTTAACAAAAAACGTGTTTTCCTTTAAAATGTTTTAAAAATTCTCTTTACCAAAATACAAATGTGTTCTCACACAAGTCTGCAAGGAGGTTAAAAACAAAAACACAAAACAAATAAAAACAAAAATATGTAACATAAAATTTACCCTTTTAGCCATTTCTAAATATACAGTTTGATGGGGTATATTCACATATTCACATGTACACCAGCAGATGAAAAGGCAGGTTTATTTGAGGCGCCCTTGTCTTTTCTTTCTGGGGCAAGTAAAGCTGTAAAGCACACTGAGTGCTCCTTTCATTCCCCACCCTAAGGCCCAACCCTGTTCTCTTCTCCAGTATCTATAGTGGTTATCAACCTCCCCAGCCATGCCCTTTCAACAGAGTTTCCCCAAAATAGCTGGGAATATCTAGAGCATTTGGGACAAAGGGTGCTGGAGATGACAAAGGATTCAGCCTCTTTCCTCCAGGTGAGGTACAGTCTAAGCCATCTTCAACATCGTCTAGATTGGTCACTGTGGAGTATAAAAAGGCAGTGCTGCTGGAGAGTTCCAAGAAATGTCTGCTAAGGGTGCTGCTGAAGGAGCAGCGAGCTGGCCACAAGAGTGGGACTTTATCTTGGCTCTACCTACATATTCTCTGGGATTATAAATAAACCACCTTATTCTGGACCTTAGGCTGTATAAAAGAGTTAGATTAAAATAATCCTTAAAGTCCTTTTAGTTTAAAGCTCAGTGATCTATAGAATGCAAAGAAATGGAGATTAATATAGATTATAATGATCAGGAAGGTTTTATTCACACGTATTGAGTACCCATAGAGAGCTGTCATAAGTGCTTGTATACAGCAATGAGTAACAGCCTAGTTCTTCACTGAGTTTGCAGTCTAATGGAAGAGACAGACAAGTAAACACATAGTCAGGTTAAACTGTAGTATTTGGATTTTAGCTGGGGTCTGAAGGATTAGAGAGGGCATTCAAGCTTCAGGTAATAGAAGCCATCCCCTCTCTCTTTTCTGTTGCCACCAGAGGTTCTCTGATTCTCCCCCACCTAATCCCTGTTGCCATGGAGATCACCAATGGGACTGAGACCTGGTTTGAGAGCCTACACACTATGCTGAAGGCTCTAAATTCCACTCTTCACAGCAATTTACTCTGCCGTCCGGGGCTGGGACCAGGGCCAGACAACCTGACTGAGGATCGGCGGGCCAGCCTACCTGGCCGTAATGACAACTCCTACATGTACATTCTCTTCGTCATGTTCCTATTTGCTGCTACTGTGGGTAGCCTCATCCTGGGATACACCCGCTCCCGCAAAGTGGACAAGCGCAGTGACCCCTATCATGTGTACATCAAGAATCGAGTGTCTATGATCTGATGCTAAGGGCCCTGGCATGGCTGAAGATCAAGATGACCGAGAATTATCTTCTGGGGCCTCTCGGACTCAGTCATGAACCACAGGAGTCTCGGATTTCCTATCTGTAAGATCAACAAGAAGCAGTTGTAAGGGGTCTTTACTGGGGTGGGGGCAGAAGGGCTGGAAGACCTGCGACTGATGGATAAGGATTTTTTCCAGCAAAGACAGATTTTATAGACAATGGGATCTCCATGAACAAATATATAGAGGTAGTGAAAATAATAACCAGCGGCTGATCCACTGGCTAGATTATTTAGGCACTTGCGCAGAAAGAGAAGAAGTTATAGAAGAGTGAAGTGAAATAGAAAGGTGCACCAAGGATTTCTTAAGTGTCATCTTCAGTGACCATGAGAGGCAGCAATGATTATCCCATATCACAGCTAGGAAATCTGAGCAATGTCACTCACATTTGTTCACATTTTATGTTTTCCAACACATTTGTTATTTTACAACCTGTGAGAGGATCAGGACAAGTGCCATCTGGGCCAAAGCAGTGCCACAACTAAAATCCAGGAAGTCTGGTCTTCTTGCCTAGTGCTTTACAAAAGTCTTTTCCCCACAGGCGTGCTCCACAGCCCCAGTCGCGGGCACTTCACCTCTAACACAGCCTCTTCCATTTTGATCAAGTCCTATGAGAAATGTTCTGATACCAAACTGAAATCAGTGTCAAGAAGATCATTACCACATACATCTCAAAAATGATTCTATTGAAAGAAACAGCATGTAGGTACCTGGTTCAGTGGAAAGAGAACTAATGAGGTATAAGGCTCTAGCTGGTCACTTCTCTGAGCCCTTCCCCTCTTCAGCATAATGAAATAGACCGAGAGTCCCAAAGGGCTCTACCACTTCTGACATTCTAGGCTTCACCTGCACTAGGTTGTACATATAAACTTGCTGTGTTTTTACAGGTCAAAAACAGTTGATGAGTGGTAGTTTCATATGGTTCATTCTAATATATGCAGCGTGGCAGAATACTTCACAAGCTGCAAATCTCAGGTTGGACCCTCCTACTGTTCTGTTTGATTTCTTTTTAAGGGGTCTCCATGGCAACTCCAGAAGGCCCTACTGGAACAAACATACTTGTGTATAGCAAAGAATATTTGATAGCAATAATCTCTAAGGAGAAGGATTATGGGTGATACGTCTTTCCTACTTTAAAAATTTATGTAGGGCCTCCCCGGTGGCGCAGCGGTTGAGCGCTGGCTTGCGAAGCTGCCCGCAGCCTCTGTGGCGCCGGTTCGATCCCCGGCTGCTCCCCGGCCACTGGAGGAGGGTCCCACATGGCGCGCAGACCTCTCCTGCCGCCCGCTGCTCCCCTCAGCAGTGTACTTCGGTCCTTCTGCCTGCTCTGCTCCCCGCTCTGGCTCTGGTGAATTCTCTCACCCTCCCGCGCTTCTGACTGTACCCAGTGCATGTATAAACGAAAAACAAACAAACAAATAAAGAAAGAAAGAAAGAAAAAAAAAATAAATAAATAAAAATTTATGTAATGTTTGATTTATTTGAACATGAGTATATTACTTGTATAATAAGGGAGGGAGGAGGAAATGATTTCCACGTTGAAAAAATAAAAAGAAATGCCTATGTGTTACTTGAATGGAGGATCACAGAATATGTTACCCTCATGAGCAATTAGTTATTTGACTCCCTGCATGCTCAGGCCTTTCCGTATCTCTTCTTGAGGGAGAAGGTATTGACCTGCTTAAGAAGATGTGACATGGCGAGACAACAGACTCAGATTTCTACAGCAGGAAGGGACTTTAGAGACCACGCAGCCCAAATTGCAAAATAAAATATGAAATTAAGGTAACTATGAATTGTCAGGTGATGGATGCTCTCAGGATTTTGAGAAATGAGATTGAGTGGATATAGAGGAGAAAGGTGAAATCGGAACTGGGCTTTGAAAGACAGGACATACCTAAGTTGAGAGACAGGATATATCTAAACCCAGGGACGCCTGGGAGCATAACTGTGGCAAGATCACCCTCCTGAAGACAGAAGGTCATCTGAGGGATGGAGCAGGAAGCAGCCCGGGTATGGCTTCCCTGGGACTTCAGTGTCCCCATTTATGGAGGAGGTTCCTTTTATGCAGGTTTTAATAATAAAATAATATAAATTCTTTTGCTTCAAGTTACAGAACCCAATGTATATTAGTAAAAGCACGAAATGGGATGTATTAAGAGGAGTATGGAGTAGTAACAAGTCAAAAAGGGAACTACAGACACTATGGCAGCTTCAGGGATCTCAGTGCAAAGAACTACTTATTTGTCTGAATTCACAAAGTAGGAGCTTAACATACTTCATTACACACACCCAGGGTTGAACTAAATAAAATTCTAGGATTTTAAGATGATATAATTTAAATATTCCATGTTGCAGTAACCCCCTCTTCCTCCCCTTAGTGCTCTACTCCAACCCCAATTGTCTAGAAGTCTCCCGCTACCTCCCTGCACACATTGGAACTTTTTGTCTGTGCTAGTTCTGCCCCCTGCTGGCCAGATCCCACACATCGCCCTGAGCACTCAAAGCAAAACTTCAATGATCACTCATTCAACAAATTAAACAAAAACCTACTACACGGCAAGTAGTCATCTAAGCACACATGGTTACATAAGTAAACCAAAAGCATAGAAGAAATTCCTGCCCTAATACTTAAGAGAATTTATCACATGTCAAGCAGTAATCTAATGTTTCATATACTTTAAGTCATTTAGTTTTTATAACCCCCACTACAACCTTATTTGGTAGGTACTCCTTACAATTACTTCAACAGAGCCCACCTACTGTTCATCTAGCCTCTGAAGCACCCCCTCAATCTTATTTCAGAATGGCGGCACACCCAACACAGGGCTTGGATCTGAGCACTCCCCAGAAATGAATGAGAGAGCGATTTGGGAAAATGATGAGAGCACATCAACACCAATAGACTGAAGCTGGGTTTCCTAGTAGCAGAGTCCAAGATAGGCATTTACTGAGGGAGCACCTTCACTCCAGGGACACCTGTGAGAGCAAGAGTGAAGCAGACAGGCAAGGGAAAGAACTAAACAAGGTGTGAATCAGGTCATGTCTAGGCTGCGCTTGACCTGCAGGGAACTGCTATGCACGGATAGGACATAAACTGCAAAGCAGAATTACACTCCCTTGAGGCAAGGGGCCAAGCCTTTTAGGCCCTCATATCAATCAGTCATTGGTTGTGGGTCATCCTGATGGGGGGAGGGCAGGGGAATAAGAGGCAGTTCCCATCAGCTAAGGTACTTCTCCAGAGAAGGGGGATAGTGGGGGCTGTGGGCTGCAGCAGTAGAAGAAAACTGCACAAGGAAGTTGTCCTGTTTGGAAATTAGCAAGAGCCTGGTCCCTCAGGAAGGTTCAGGAGCTCAATTATCACCACAGAATTGACCCCACTTTTCGTGGCTATCCTTCTCTAGTCTGTGTTACTTGTCATGGGCTGCTGGCTGCCAGAGGGGCACATGAGCTCCAGGGGTGCTCACATTTTGGGTGAGGCCAAATCTCTGAAGAAGGGAGCGGTTCTGAGTAGCCAACACTCCCTGCATCTGGGGAAAGGGGCTTGTGAGGGGCCTGGTCAGCCTTCACTACAGTTGTGGTGTTGGGGAGATGGGAGCAGAAGCAGAGTGCCAAGTCTTGGGAGCGCCTTCTAGCTTAAGAGACAAGAAGCACACCCCCCCCCCCCAAAAAAAAAATAAAACAAGAAAACACCAAGTGGAACCAAATAGGAAACAATATAGTTAATATAGTTAAGTAACAGAAAACACAGGGAGAAGGAGACGCTGCGAGTAAGATCTCCCATTAAAAAAAGTGAATAGGGAGGAAAAGCGGCAGGTCCCAGTGAGAACTGGGACACGGAAGATAAACGGGTGACGCCAGCGAACTGCCCGAAGAAGAAAGTGGCCATAAAAGAGGACTAGAAGGGAGGGAAGCGCAGAACCCTGCTCCCCTCCCCCGCCCACAGAGGCGGCACTCTCCGACCAGCAGAGAGGAGGAAACAACAAACCAAAACGGCCCACAAGAACAAAGGACGCAGCAAGCGGGACTGGGAGTGGAAAGGAACTATTGCAGCCACCACACCCCGTGAACGGGAGCTGAGGCGAACCCTGCAGGATCTGCCGCGGCGGTGAGCGAACGGCTCCGGGCGCCATTAGAGAAGAACAAAGACCCCGGGAGACGCTCACACAGCCCGGGCTGCCGGTAAGCCTGCGCGGGAAAGCGGCGCGCTCGGGGAGCTTGAAAAGCAAGTGCAGACCTGGATCGTGGCTGCCCAGGTCCCCGCGCCTGCGACCTAGGCTTGCGGGGAGACGACCTAGGCTTGCGGGGAGACGCACGGAGGTCCTCACTGAGGTGAAGGTCCCTCCCTGAGTGAGCAGGAACCAGGCGCCCAGGCACGGGAGCTGTGCAAAAGGCGCCATTCCCGCGCCACTGAACTGGGCTACAGCCCGCGTCCTGGAACTGAGGGCTTTGAACTGAGACCCGGGGCACGAAAATTCGGGGCGTGGTTTCTCCACGACGGTGGGGCACAAGGCAGACACAGCACCCCAAAGCTGTTGAGGTGTACCCTACCATTCCCGCTCTGTTCTCTGTCCCACGGGGTGGGGGGAGGCGAAAAACAGCCCCCCAAGGACAATAGGAGAGATCTCTGGCGCCACCTAGCGACCAGGAAAAAAAAAAGTCACTAACACCCTATAAAACAGGACATTTCTTAAGACTGCTTGAAAAGGGCAGAAGGTTTCTGGAGGACTCAGTGGCCAGCCGGGAAGTTATTCCACGCCAGGCCCCTTCCGACCAGCAGTCTGAGCCCACAGAGGGAGCAGGCACCCACGTCTGGGGCAGACTGGGTGCGCAGAAGAGTGTGCCTGAAACCGGAGGCGCAGGGACTGCATCCCGCTTCGCCATTTGAGAACAGGGACATTTCTTCAGTAAAAACTGCCTAAAACCAGCAGAAAGCTCCCCCAGAAGACAGAGATGGCTCCTGGAAGAGCCAGAGGGGAGCGGAGAAGTTCACCCAAGATGTCAGTCAGTCCGAGCAACACAGTGTCCCAACGCATACGACAAATTAGAAAACAGACAGTAGGGAGTAGAAGAACCACACGCAACCTAACAACTCCTCAGGAAAGAAGCACACCACAAAAAGAAAACCACTCCCCAGATTGCAACGACAGCAACTTGGAAGAACTTCTGAGCCTTCCAGAAAGAGAATTTAAAATTGCCATGATTAAAAAAGTGATAGATCAGAAGAAGGAAATTGAGTCCCTAAAGAGGGAAGTAAGAGAAATGCAGGAGATCAAAGAATTAATGGAGGAACTAAAGAACTCTGGGAAAAGCAATGAAAGCAGAATAGATGAAATGGAAGAACGAATAAGTAATCTTGAAGACACAGAAATAAAAAGAACCAAAACAGAAAAGGAAAGAGAAGTACGAAGGAAAAAGAATGAAGAAAGACTTCGGGAACTATCTGACTCCATGAGGAAAGGAAATATAAGAGTTACAGGAATTCCAGAAGGAGAGGAGAGAGATGTAGGAACAGAGAAAATATTCATGGATATAATTGAAGAGAACTTCCCAAATGAGAAGAAGGAGCTGAAAATTGATATACAAGAAGCAAGAAGAACACCAAACTTCCACGACGAAAGGAAAAACACAGCAAGACACATAATAGTAAAGCTCCCAAGAATCCAGGACAAGGAAAAAATAATGAAGCTGACAAGAGGGAAGAAACAGATAACATTCAAAGGAAAACCAATCAGGCTGACATCAGACTTCTCTGAAGAAACACTACGGGCAAGGAGAGAGTGGAGGGACATAGTCAACAGACTCCAAGAAAACAGATGCCAACCAAGAATACTCTATCCCGCAAAGCTCTCTTTCCTCCATGAAGAAAGAATATGGACCTTCCCAGACAAAGAGAAACTCCGGAATTTCATTGCGACTAAACCCCCACTCCAAAAAATACTACAAGGAATCCTAAAGCCAGAACCTCAGAGGGACGAATAACAACGAAAGAAGACCAAAAAAAAAAAAAAAGTTATTAAAAGAATAAATAAATAAAATCAAAGGAAAGACAAACATAATGGCAAATACTGATGCTAACATATCAATATTAACTCTAAATGTAAATGGACTAAACTCTTCAATAAAAAGACACAGAGTTGCAGCCTGGATTAAGAAACAAAACCCAACCTTTTGCT